GATTTAATAGATTGCTATAGCAAGTACAACTACTTCTTCGACAATCCTACTACAGAACGTGATATGGGGAAAGGCTCTGTCACTCAAGAACACTCCTGGCAGTCTTGCTTACTGATTAACATTTCAAGACTATACAAGCCCTTTTCGAATCCCTCTGGGGGGATTGATGAGACCTAGGCGAGGTCAAAATTTGTCTATCCTGAATGAGAATACCTTTTGGAAAGTAAGGCTATGTAATATTCAATGGATACATAAGGTCTACTCATATCATTGTGGAAAAATTCAGCTACTAATCCTCCATTATCTTAAATGGAATAAGATAGATTAATCTTATGATATACCCGTGGTCTCGAAAAACCTACTTATGAGCAAAAAATGTGAACATTTTTTATTTCATTTCTTCCCAGTTATCTAGCTCATATAAAGTTTCTCTCATTCGTAACATATCAATAGGAAATCTGTGATAGCTTCGGTATCCAGCCACGCGGCACCTTTGGCGAACACACAGAGACGGTTGGCGGCATCTATGACTTGAGCAACAAGCGTCGCCTCGGCCTCACCGAATTGCAGGCGGTCGAAGAAATGTCCAAAGGTGTCTTAACTTTACTCGATCTAGAGAAGAAATTGGCGGGCCTTTGCAATCCGAAATGTAAGTATTTTCCATACTTTGTATTTACAACTCCCATCGTTTAAATGTACGAGGACCGAATTAGGCGCGTCCATGAACTTGTTTTATTTTTTCTTATTTCACTATACACACTTATCTGAACAGCTGCATTCATCTTAAGACCCTGGGTCCATGATGATTATTACTCAAAAGACTGTTCTTTATATATTGGCTTGCCTTTTCACAATGATATGCACAAATATTTAGGACTTCAGCCGTGTGCTAATTCTCACTTTATCTTTAAACGGACTCAATTGGCTTATCGACGAACGGCTAAGTAAGAGAACCGGAAATTTTGTGTTAGAATCGAATTCGAAATTTTGATTTATTGATAATGAATAGGGAAAAGAGTACCTGTGTTAAGTGTTATCATCTGACAGGTATGCCCTATGCAAATGCATGAAATACATACAATGTATTTTATCAATATTAATATACCAAGGTTATACATATATGCACAGACCTTTGTTCATATAGAGATGTGCACCTAGACAACCGGCACAAGCAGGCTTGTTAACACGGCTGATAAAGCCTGCGTAAAACATTTGTGTCTTGTGGGTGTCTGTTTTAATTCACACGAATACTATCTAAACCCTTAGATGTAACCTTAAGGCGGTTTTTAATCTTTAATTGACTCTAGATCATAACCTATGCTTAATAAATATGGGTTTCAAAGAATCCCCTAATCGATTGATACTGACAAACCTTTGTGGAGGCCAGTGCAAAGACTTCGTATATTGGCCTTACCAGAAGCCGAAAGAGAATTGTCCTAGAGTTGTGATCTGATTTGTTCGAATATGCCCTCGGTACATCAATCTGTGCTGAGCTTTCGTCTATAATAGAAGTTGTTTGACCTTGTTTTCGCAACTTGGTCATATTGGTAGGAAGACTTATAGGAACGCACTTTG